AAAAAAAAAAAAAAAATGCTTAATTTTTAGAGATGCATACTGAACTGTTTTTTGGAAAGAAATATTGTGATGCCTGTAATTTAATTTTACTTAAGCATCTCCCCCGAGCCCTCAAAAAAACAAAACAAAACAAAAAACAAAGTTGAGACTGGGTACATAATTCAGTGGTAGAGTGCTTGTCTAACCTGAAGCCTAGGATTTATCCTAGAACCTCGAGAAAGCAAAACAAACGTATGATCTTGTTTCTTCTTTTAAATTGTTCTCTAAAGCAAGAGTTGATGGTGTTCTTATTCTGTAGTGTAAAGAGGTAGTTCTCTTTCAGGTTCTGCCACTGGCTGGTGGTAGAGCCACAGCTGGAGTGAGAGGCCTCAATCACTGGAATATCAAGTCCCCAAAGCAGAGCCAGTGAGGTGTTGGTCAGGTGGAATACTCCTGTAAGAGATCAGAAGCAGGAGAATCAGGTCCCAGGGAGGTTATTGAGACAAGTTAAGACCCAAAATGCAATTAACCTGATATAAGAAATAAGTATCAGGAGAGATAAATACAGTGCAGATTTAAAGATCATGTTTGATAGAAGCTATGGAGTAAACAGTAGAACTTCACAAGTAAGAAATAAAAAGGCTTTGTAGTGAAGATGGTGGCCTCCAGGTGAATGTGTGCTGCCCTGCTCCTGCTTTGTGCCTCTGATCTGGATTCCCAGTGATGCTACCCCTCCTCTGCAGAAGGAGGACATTGGTGACTACAACATTGGACATAGCAGGTCTCCTGGAACAGTGGGAGAAAGATGACACACAGAAGAAAAAAATTGGAGCACAAGAGACCTTCAGCACCTGTTGACTTCTCAGAGCAGACCCGGGTAAGCCCGAGAGCATCCTGAAAATGACGAAGAAAGGAAAAACTCTTAGACTGTTTGTCATTGCATGGGGGAGCCCCGTGGAGAAGGCAGTAGAAAATCAGAAGCCTATGGCAAGGCAACCCATTCAACACCAAATATGATGGGCAGAAGCTCACCATGGGATCAGACTGGGCTATCTTCATTCTCAGAGGGGAGCCATGCCTAGGAGATCAAGGACTTTGGCCATTCAAGACAGAAGTACTGATGTCACTTTGGAGGAATGAGTGTGCCTGGCAAAGGAGAAGGAGGCCAGGAGAAAAAGCAAGAGAAGAGCAAAAGCAAGGAAGGAAGGAGATCTGAAATCGCAGGCCTTGAAGGAAGACAATTGAGCTGGAGGTCAGCAAGAAGACCTGTGACTTCGCAGTGTATCTCCGCATGGAGAGATGGGCCACTAGAGCTCCTTGCTGGTCTTGTGGGCAGGGTGAATGCTGCAAACTACAGACCAGGTGATATTTTCATTTTTTCTAGAAAGGTTCTTCCACAAGGCCAATCTGATCAATTCAAAAGTTACTCTCATAAAACCTTCAAGTATGAAGACAGGTTTTCTGGTTAATAGCAGATACTAACAAATTCATGCTTACTACGGAATCACCATCCAAAAGCTGTCTATTTTGCTATTTCCCATTTGGATTAACCCAGTGGGTCATTGGCTCCCAAGCTGTCACCACCTCACCTCACCTGCTCTGTCAGTCTGCTATGTCCATGCTTTTGATTTTCTGTTAACCAAAAAGATAGCGGGTTGTGATTAGACCAGCTCTTCAAACTCAAGTTAGAGTGTTGGGCCACCAGCCATAGTTTTCATCATCATGAAGGTAAAGCAAGTTGTGGTGTCTAAATGTGTCCTCAGGAGGCCAGGCACATAAACCCTATCTGTGTAGGAAATGCTGAGAGCAGAATCAATGCCATTCAGCAATCCTAAGTAGTTATTTGGGATATCATTGACTGAAGTCCCTCTCCTTAGCTGAAGGGAACTCCTGCTGTCAGTCAGATCATGTGATTTCCTTATTTAGGACAGAGACCACTGTAAAGTGCAAGTAGGAGCCAGTAGAGCCCTGAGCAGGTGTGGCAGAAGATGCAAGGAGCTCAGTTACAGTGTTTCTAAACACTGTCCTTTGATAAAATGCCTAAAGTTGTGTTTTTGTATGGTGGTAACTTATGCCCTGCTGTTGGAGTCTGAATTTTTGCTGTTTGTGTATTGGAGCCAACTCTGGATAAGAGAACATTCATATACAGGCATCATTATTTTGGAATTCAAGTTATTTGAAAACACTTGTGGTTTCAAGAGATTAAAAATAATACATATAAATGATTAGAAAATGTCACTGTTAAAGGGTGGTACAAACCCTCCCCTGCTGCCAGTACCTTGTCCCTTGTCCCAGTGGAGCTACTGTTCATGTTTTGTTTTAAAAAGAAAAAACATTCAGCTAAGATTTTTCAAATGTTTGTGCTATTTTACCAAATAAGTAGTTCAGTGTGGTTTAGTGTAGTCATTAGTGAGCTTAGTTTTAAGTTTCTTTAGAAATCTTTTATTTCTAAAGTCCAAATGGTAAGTAATTAAATCAAGTGTGCATTCAAGAAGGATGTCAGTGAAAAGAGAAATTCATAATTTGTGAAAAATTTAAAAGCATAGCAAGGTTAGAGAAGATTGGGTTTAGTTCAGGCAGGAAAGGGATGGAAAAAACAACATGTTTGGGGGCAGTAGCAAATTAACAGCAGAGGTTAAGAAAGGAGATATTAAAGTGTGGCTCTAAAGGAGCTCAGGTGAGGTGTATGGGAAGAATTATGTGGATGATATTGATGTTGACCAGCATTTATTATAATTTCCTACATACCAGGCAGGCTTTTTCTATAGTGATCTCAGCCATGCTCTAAGGTATTACTACTGTTTCCATGTTAAAGTTGAAGATACAAAGAGAATGAATAATTGGCCAGAAGTCACTCAGCTAAAAGTGAAAGAGCAAGTTTTAAACAAAAATGGTCCAACTCTAGGCCCTTTGTTGTTAATCACTATTCACACTGAACCTTTTTGTAAGGAGTTTGACATGTAAGCCACCTTTCTCACCTTTCCAGACTTGATGCTCCAGAGGTGACACAGTATCAGTGCCCTGTTCCTAACCAAACGTGCTTTATATGCTTAGAATGACTACCCTATATCAGCTGAATTTGAGCTTGGCCCTTGTGTATTTTAGGACTGAGGTATATTGTGCTAAAAAGAAAGTTTGCGGGAAACTGGAAATAATGCTTGAACTAAATAGAAAAACTGTTTTCAAACTTGAGAATGTGATTGTTTTTAAAATTTATAGGCACCCAAGATCGTACTAAGAGATGTTATCTCAGAGAAAAAATTACTTACTATATGGATAGAGCAGAAGACATAAAGAAATACTTGGATCAAGTAAAAGAAGGTAAAAAGGCTATTTTAAAAAACAAGTCCAAGGGGACTGGGGATGTAGTTCAGTGTTAAAGCATTTGCTTAGTATGCCTGAGGCCCTAGGTTTGATTCACAGCACCACACACACAAAAAAAGAAAACATAAGCTGCCATGATTCTGCCCATACACCAAGTATTTCTGGCTTCCTTTAGAGCTCTGTGTAGTGTGAACTATTTGTGCCTAGGGCTTACAGATTTACTCTGCATTTCTTCTCCCTCTATACAAGAGTTACTCACTCTTTTTTTGTTAGGGGGTGGGGTCACATACCACTTTGAGCATCCCATGAAAGCTCTACATTCTGCAGAACATTGCCATTTTTAAGGAATTTGCAGATTCCTGGAATGTTTGTGGATCCAGTTTAAGGACTACTGCAGAGGAGTGCTGAATGTGGACCCTGCATTTTATGTATACTTCCCTTTGTGAAAGGAGTAAAATTATTAAAGTAGCTAAAGAAACTCTCTAGACTTCTCTCAGATACTGTTGTGAATCAAAGCATTCTAAGAGTTAAGTACTCCTAATGACCAGAGGTTGAAATATGTATGTATTGTTCCCTGTATATTACTAGTTTCTTATTCCTGAGCATCCAGGTTATGAGCATCTATAAAAGGGCATTGCCATCTTACATACAGTGTGCACTATTACCGTTTTCTATGGCCAGAGGGACTGCCCCCTGCAAGTACTGGTCCCCTAACCCTCAGCTGTTCTTCCTCTCTGTCCTTACTATGGCCCAACATGTTTTCTCACTGTCTTAGACAATCTCATAAGAACTTTTAGGTCTCACAGTACAAACCTCTCAGTCTGCCTGGTGACATCCCACACACACATTTTGGTGCTTTCCCAACCTTCTTGACATAAAAAGCAAACGATTCTGTTACCAGAGTTTTGGGACAGCCTAGTTTTTAAGAGCCTGTATTGCAGGAAAGCCTACTATGTATGTCAAACGCAGACTGTTGGAGTGCCTTCACGTGCTGTCTTCTGAAGAGGAGTCAGACCACTAATTTTTTAAGCTAAGTGTGAAGTACAAAACCATGTGAATTAGGAACTCTTATTAGGGGTCATATATATATTTTTCAACCTTGATGGTCTGTGATAACTTGTTCAGTAATTATTTATTTTGAATTAACAAAACCAGTAGAACTATCCTGTTGATCCTGTGACATCCCACTCTTTAACTTGGGTTATAGGTTTAAAAATTATAACTGATCCTGATTAATCACTATTTTTAAAAAATAGTTTTAAAAAGTGGTCTTTGATCATATACTGAAGTTTGTGTTTTATAGATGGAAAATATCACAAACAAATTAAGATAGAAGAGAATGCAACAGGTTTTGGTTATGAGTCACTTTTTAAAGAATACCTTAATGAGACAGTCACGGAAGTTTGGATAGAAGACGCTTACATTAGGCACACTCACCAGGTAAGTCAAGTGTATTAAAATACAATGAGATCTTACTTGAAATGAACAGTCAGCCCTCTGAAGGTCCCACATTCAAATAAAGATGGAAAATTTTTTAAAAAATCATCTATACTGTACACTTTTTCTTGTCATTGTTCACTGAACACAGTGTAACAATTATTCACATTGTATCAGGTATTATAAGTGATCCAGAAGTGATGTTGGGAGGCTGTGTAGAGGCTCTGTGCAAATACTTGGCCATTTTATATAAGGGACTTGAGCTTCTGTGGATGGGGGGCGGGTCCTGGAAGTCCCATCCCATCAGTGCTGAGAGGGAAAATTGTACTAGTCATTATCCATCCTGATGTCTTTTTTTGGCGGGGAGGGTACTGGCAATTGAACTGGGGGCCTTGTGCTTGCAAGGCAGGCAGCAGCACCACTGAGCTAAATCCCTGGCCCTTATCCTGATGTCTTTCAGCTATATAACTTCCTTCGATTTTGTGAGATGCTTATTAAGAAACCATGTAAAGTAAAAACAATTCACCTTCTCACCTCTCTGGATGAAGTAGGTATCTGAAAGAACTTACTTTCTTCCTTGGCCTATTAACATATTTTCAATTATGAGATGTAGTCTGGCTACAGAAAACCTGGGTCCATGCATCAGCTATATCCATTTCTGTGGGAATTAACTTGTTATCTGATAATCAGCCTAGCACATATTGAGAAAAATGCTGTTGATTTTAGGACATTGATTTGGATGTGACCATTTTCCTAAATTCTTATTTGTTCACATAGTTTGTCTGTTTCTTCTCTGGGATGTTCCTAGAAGTGATCATTCTTTCTGCACTACTGTTTTGTCTTTGCTAACTCTTTCTGGGATTAGCCGCATGATATTACACATATTTACCTTGATTGGGGCTTAAACAGGGATGCCTCTAAATAATTATGATTTCCAGGATTAATTTAAGAACTGGGCAGCCACACCTGCATGATTAAACATCATTACTAAAATACCTTTAAGGAGACTGGTTGAAGTTGTGTTATGGTCATGTTAGGAAGAAACTTTATAGAATTACTTGTTTTTTAAACTAATTCACATTGTTGGTTTACTTTGTTGAGATAATGGACATTAAAAGTAGTATAGAACTTTTAAATTTTAATCCCATCTGTGATATTCACTATCTATATAGCACAGGGATAATTTAAAATGTTAGTACCTGAAGCATCTGATTATATTTTTGCTATTAATAGGGGTATGGGAATGTACAGCAAAGTAGTGGCTTGGAAGAAATAAAAGAGTCACTCAGGAAACATGGAGTGCTGTTGGAAATAGAATATTCTTCTTCAATACATGACCGAGAAATTAGGTTTGTGTACAATAAAACTTTAATTTTTATCCAGTTGAAATAGTTTTAAAATTTCTCTTAACAAGTGTTATGTAATTACATATAAATATTATGTTTAAATATTAAAATTCAAAGATCAATTTTAGTAATTTCTCACTTTTAAGATTAAAAGAAAAAAATCTTAGTTTACTTTATCCCATGAGTTTATTTCCAGAGAAATAAAATTTACATGTTCTATGTCATGTAGGAAGAGAGAAGTCCTTTCTGTATACTGCATACAGTGTTATGAGAATGAAGTAGTTCCTTTTCTAGTAGAATTAATATTTACATAATTTAGGGTTTTCTTGTTTTTTGTTTTGTTTTGCTACCGGGGATTGAACTCTGGTCCTTGCACTTGCAAGGTACATAATTTAATTTTATTTGCTGTGGGTAAGTAAATATTCTGGCAGACAGGAAAATATGCTGAATTGCCAGGCATGGTGGTGCACACCTGCAGTCCTAGCAGTTATAAGGCTAAGGCAGGAGGACTGCTGTGAGTTCAAGGCCAGCCTGAAGTATAGTGAGACCCTGTCTCAAAACAAACAAACAAGAACCACCCCAAATATGCTGAGTCAATAAGAAAATAGCGCTTGCAGTTATTTTAGAGCTATCTTCCCTTTTTTCAGCGCAGGGGTTTTCCTATGATTATAACAATGGCAACCCCATTTTAAATGAAAACTTAAGCACAAACTAAATACATAAAATAGATGCAAGTTCAGTGCTTCTGTAGTTGAAGTAGAGGTCAGGAGCTGGGGCTCCTGTGTTCACATCCCCAATCTCTAGGAAGGGGATCCCTGAAATCCCATCATAGTCTGTATGAATATACTCTGCAGCCACCTATTAGCACAGTGGAAAGCTTTATCAACAAGCTGAAATGCAAGAATAAGTTCTGACTTACTTGTTAAACTGTTAGCTAACCAAGTCAGCTGATTGTTTCTGTGGCCCTTGTGTTTCATTGTAGACAGAGCCCATTATGAGCCCAGGTATGATTCAACTCAGGCATTGGAGGAAATGGTTTTCTTTGTTGGGGGGAACTTTTGCTGGTACTTAATACACTGCAGCTTTAATAACTGTCTCAAATATAATACTGTCTACTAATTTCAATAGGTTTAACAATGGATGGATTATTAAGATCGGAAGGGGACTTGATTACTTTAAAAGACCACAGGTAGGATGTTTTATGAATAAGCACGTAACACCATTTTTTATCACTTTTGTTTTTGTTTTCTGAGATGCGGGTCTTACTGTGTAGCTCAGGCTGGTCTTGAACTACTTGGGCTCAAAAGTTATCCTCCTACCTCAGCCTCCCAAGTAGGTAGGACCACTGGTACATCATCACACCTAGATTATTTCTGTGTTGTTTTAAACAATAATTTTTTCTTTTCTTCCTAGGGTCGTTTTTTTCTTGGATTTTGTGACTTTGATTTAAGACCATGTCATGAAACAACAGTGGACATTTTTCATAACAGGCACACACGAAAAATATGATGGTCAGTAGCCTAATTCATACTTCATATTTCTACTCTAAATGTTGTTTTATTCCATTTTCTGTTGCTATAGTTGAATACCACACACTGGCTCATATAAAGAATAGAAGTTGATTTAGCTGGCACTTCTGGAGGCTGGGAAGTCTTAGGACAGTGTCAGAATCTGGTGCAGGCCTTCTTTCTGCATTGTACGTGAGAGATGGCATTATGGAAGAGATGCAAGCTATGCCCAGAGTTCACTTTTATAACAGCCACTTTTGGGAAGCAGAGCTGGTCATATTTCAGAAGTCCCACCTCTTAAAACTGCTATTTTGAGGACCAGGTTTCCAACACATGAACTTTTGAAGGTCAACATTCAAACCACAGAAGTGAATACTGGATTTAAAAAAAAAAAAAAATTGGAACATATTTTTATAATGTATGAATCTAACAATAAACTTTTTTACATTTCTACTAGTTTATGAATCCATTGTTCATTTGTGGGAACATTCATAAATACTTTTGTAAATGTGTTACTTAGTAGACTGATAATGTTTCTTATCAAATTCAATGGTTAGGCTCAATGAGGAAATCTGATTCAGTTCTCATCCAATTTGGTTTGTGACCAGAACTGTGGAATTACATCTGTGAAATTAGGCACCATTGTAATTCTAGTCTGTAGAACACATAAATCTGTCACTATAGAGAACCCAAAACCCTCTGGATTTATCCAACTGTAAAAATCATGGCTAAGAGCAGGAGGTGTTAGATCAGTGGTACAGTGTGTGCTTAGCATGCATGAAGCCCTGGGTCCAGTACTCAACACCCTGGCCCCCCCCAAAAAAAAATCCCAAGAGAAAATTAATTTAAGGAAAAGAGTCTATGCATATGTTTTCCATTATATTATACATATATATTTGGAGTCCCCAGATCAAATTAGAACACCAGAAGGATACCAAGTACAAGTTTAAATGGATGGAGTTGTAGAAGGAAGAAAACTAGAGCAACTGAAAAGATGATTATATTCCTGAATAGAAATCAATGTCATTTCACCCTAAATTAATTTATAAATTAGATGACAAAGGAGACTAGCACCAGGAGATTTTTTTGACCAGCTGCAAGACATATTAACTACAGCAATTTTGTTTGTTTGTTTTGTTTTGTTTGAGACAGGGTCTCACTACATAGTTGAGACTGACCTGGAACTCATTATGTAGCCCAGGCTGGTCTCAAACTCACAGCAATCCTCCTGCCTCAGGCTCCCAAGTGCTGGGATTACAGGCGTGCACCACCACGCCCAGTTTACAGCAATTTTTTTAAAAGTGCAAAGGCATAGATCTGGACAAATAAATTAGTGAAACAGAATAAACTCAGAAAATGTGTGCATGGATATTTAATATATAATGTGTCATTTCAATTTAGAAAGTGAACATTCAATAAATGACTGGAAAATAACACTACTAGATCTCTGCCTTGCTCCACATAAAGAAATAAATCTTAAATGGGTGAAAGAAATAATCAAATGGAAAAATCTGCTTTTTTTCCCCCTAAACTCTTACCATATGTATATACACAAAGAGCAGAAACTATTGAGGAAAGGAATAGAGCAAAAAATTTGATCATATAAATATTTAAAACTTACGTAGGAACCACAAACAAAGTTTGAAAACACACACAATCAAATTTACAACATACAACCTGGGCATGGTGGCACATGCCTGTAATCCCAGCACTTGGGAGGCTGAGGCAGGAGGATCACTATGAGTTCGAGACCAACCTGGGCTACATAGTGAATTCCAGGTCAGTATTAACTACACAGTGAGACCCTGTCTCAAAAAACAAAACAAAACAAAAAAAATTTACAACATACAGAAAAAGGGTAAATATTCTTAATTATGTAAAGAAGATGGTCTCATTTTCAGAAGTGACCTTTATGAGACCTCCTGTAGCTTCAAGAGGATTTGGTCCTAGAGTGGTGTCTTCTGTCCTATTGATCATTCCTGCCAGCACACATAACCCCAAGCAGATGCTACCCTATTTTTTGTTCTCTTTCAGGACCAAACTTCTTGAAAGTTTTCTCTACTTCCTCATCACCTGTTCATACTTCACTCTGTCATTCCACTGAAACTTGTTGAAGTCAGTAGTGACCTCTATCTCACCATATGCGGTGGGCTCTTTTTAACCTTCATCTCACTTGACCTTTCAGGGGCATCTGACCCACTGGCTACTCCCTTCTCAAAACTCTGGTAAAATAGTTTTCTCTCCCGTCCTTTCAAATACCAGATTTGGAGCTAGTGATGTAGTTCACTGGTAGAGCATTTGCTTAATCCCCGGCACAATAATAATCCTTAATCTCTTTTCTTCAATCTATACTCTTCCTAAGAAATTACACTTGACATCACTTCCATCACTGGCACTGCCAGTGTGGGCCTTGCTGCCTTTGCTATCTTTTTTTTTTTTTTTTGTACTGGGAATCGAACTCAAGAACTCAGGGCCTCGAGCTTACCAGGCAGGCACTGCACCACTGAGCTATATTCCCAAGCATGCCTTTGCTATCTGAGAAAGTGAGGCTCTTGACTAGAGAGGGGTCTCCCCTCTCAGGTTCTCTGCCTATTCTCATCTAAAATACTAATCATATGCTTTCAACTCTCAAATTACCTAAGACTTCTCCTTGGAGTTCCAATTCAACTGCCCTGTAGCATCGCAGAAGCACACAAGAATTTCAAATACAGTATACACCAGCTGAACTCCCCCATTCCCTCTGCTTACTCCCATCCATCCAATTGCCTAATAAGTCTAGACTCCTCTCTCCCTCATCCCAATGTGCATTTGAAAAGTTCTGTGGAGTCTACCTGTAAAATATACCTTGAGCCCATCTGTTTCAGGCGTTCCTTGTTCCAATTTCCTTTTTGGAACCTGAAGTGCATAATACCCTTCACCTGATGATATCCTCTCAAGAAAAAAAAAAAAAATGGTATGGTACTAAAGCACACCATATCAAGATTTTTATACCTTTCTCAGAAAATAATTTTCACATGTTGCAACGTGTAATAATGTTTAAGAAATTTGAGAAATCTCTTCAAAACTGTTTACATGCTATTTAATGTTTGAGCTGCTAGAGAACAAAAGGACCTGTCTATTGAACCTGCCTCAAAGAACAACTAAACTTCAAGTCATGTTTGTCCAGAAACAACTAAAAGTAAAGTTCATTCCACTTATATCACCTGTGCTTTGAGAAAATTAGTTGTAAGCAAAGCCCTGTGTCCTCACTCCTGCTCAGTCTATAGGTCTGGTCTACTTAGATACGTGAAAATAATTCAAAAAAGAAGGGCTGAGATCAATGTGGTGAGGTCCAAATACCATGGAACACTGTTTCAGGTACAGAAGTCTCTACCCTCAAGATCCTGTCTGTTTCAGGGTGAATTATTTCCCTCCACTAAATTCATATGTTGGAGTCCTAACCCTTAGTACCTCAAAATATAATCATATTTAGAGATGGGGTCTTTAAAGAGCTACTTGAGTTAAAATGAAGTCTTTAGTGTAGGCCCTAATCCAGTATGACTGATCCTCTTGTAAAAGGAAAAAATTTGGACACCGATATACAAGCAGAGGAAAGATCATGTGAGGCCACAAGAAGAAACTGGTTGTCCTCAAGCCAAGGAGAGGGTCTCAGTAGAAACCAAACCTACTGACACCTTCATTTTGGACTTGAAGCCATCTAGACTGTGAATGTTACAGAAGCCCTAGAAATCTAATATGTATTGTTTTTGTTTCCTTTGTTAATGAGCCATGCCTTGAAAACAGGAGTCTAGTGTCCTTAATTTTTAACAAGTGCCCAGTACACTGCTTGATTCTTTCCATGGTCATTCTCAACATGATCTCTTGTCTCTGCTGCTGCAGGAGCCTCCCAAATGGCTGATTCTTTACCTTGCTTCATACTAATCCATTCACCACAGAGCAGGAGACTCATCCTTATTAAAACTGTCAGACTTTCACTGCACTTTAAGTCAAGCTTTATTCTGGCCCAGCAGTCTCTGTATGATCTGGTCCCTGCCTCTCTAACTTCATCTTGCCTGGTTCCTGCATTCCTTCACTACCATCAATGAGCCTAGCTCTTTCCTCTGTCAGGGACTTCTTGGATGTGTGGCAAATTGCACTTTACAAAATTGGCTGCAGTAAAATCCATTTCCGCTTTTATAATGAGTTTGAAATTCCTTTCATAGAGTATGTTTCTTCTTTTTACATTTGATGTACTTTTGACTACTGAAGTGATCCAATGTTACTTCCAAGTCTGGGTCATTGGATTAACTTTCTATTGCTGGCTCAAAATAGCTGACATACACAAGGGAGGAAAGGTTTGCCTTGACTCACAGCTGCAGAGGTTTCAGTCCATGGTCAGCTGGCTCCACCAAAGTTATGGTGGAAGGGTGTGGCAGAGGAAAGCTGCTCAACTGACAGCAACCAGGAAGCAGGGAGCAGGGGAACAGCCAGGCAGAACCATATAAAGTTCCCCAAACCACTCCTCCATGACTGACCCAGACATACCCAGAAGCGGGATTTATGAATCTAGGCATCTCTCAAGCAAATCAAGATGACAATCAAGCTAAACTGTCAGTCTTAAAAGAAAATGGCCTCTGCCCTGCTTTCGTGGGTCACTTGCTCTGGGAACCCAGCCACTAGTCTGTGAGGAATCCAGGCAGTCCAAGTGGTACTAAATTGAAGCCCTGAGCCCATGGTCCCAACTTGAGCTCCCAGATGCCTGCCAGCACGTTTGCCAGCCAGATGAGCAAGCTTTTCTTGAAAGTAGGTATTCCTTGCCCCATTTAAGCTATCATCACTAAAGATGTTTAATCAAATTTGTATTTGTGAATGACTGTCTTAAGTCACTCCATTTTGGAATGGTTTGTTACATAGCAGTGACTGATATAAACTGGAATTACTGTCCTCCCCACCCTACCCTTCTTAGAATGGCAAATTTCTTATTCTTCGGTTTAAATAGCAACTTCCTGACAGGTCTAGCTGGGTAGCCCCTATTATTGCCTGTTACTACTCCCTCAACTTTTCAACCTCATAGCGTTTCTTTATAATTATTTACTGATCTGTTAATTTCCTTTTCTTAATTGGACAGAGATTTTAAAAATGAGGTCTTGATTTCTTAAAGGATAAGATCAACTTCTGAAAGATGAAATAAAGGGAATATAATATCAGAAAACTAAATAAACATTGTATTGTGAAGCTTGTTAGGTATGGTAAATGTAAGGGTGCTAAGGCACAAGGAAGTTTTTTTAGTCTAATTTTACTTTGGTTTCCTAAAAAAAGTTTGAAAGCCACTATGCTAAAATGTCAATTCCTGAGGTCAAGAACTATTTGTCTTTCTATTCACCATGAACACTGCACAGTGTTGGCACAGGAGGCACTCAGTAAACAGTGGAGAAATAAATGTGAAGATGAGTGAACTGTAGAAACAGGAAATGGTCAACAGTGATGTTACTCTCTGAAGTTCGCTAATAAAAAGAGGAGGCTGGGGATTTGGTTCTGTCGCCTGCCTAGCAAGTGCAAGGGCCCAAGTTAGATCCCCGTTACCAAAAAAAAAAAAAAAAAAAAAAAAAAAAAAAAAAAA